GTTTGCTCGGTGATGCATGCAGTGGTCTCAGCGCATCTTTCCAGGTGATCATGCCTGCTCCACACACTAGGCATCCCCTGCTTGGAGCAATGCCGAGCTGCTGGACCTCATCAGCATTTGGGGAGAGGAGGTTGTCCAGTCTCAGCTGCGCTCCAGCTGTAGGAATTATGATACTTATGAACAGATTTCATGATGCATGACAGAAAGGGGCCATGACCGGGACACACTGCAGTGCAGGGTCAAAGTGAAGGAGCTGCAGAACGCCTACCACAAGGCACAGGAGGCAAACTGCCGCTCCGGTGCTGCGCCCACGAGCTGCTGGTTATTCAAAGAGCTGGACACGATACTCGATGGTGACCCCTCCTCCACTGCGAAGGCCACTGTGGATACTTCGGTGGCTCGTGTGCCAGTCAAGAGTGGACCGAGGCAGGAGGAGGAAATCTTGGATGAGGATGTGGAGGGGGGGGGCGTAGGGGGACCCAGAGGCAGAGGATGACTCGGAGGTCAGAGCTGCATGCAGTCAGGAACTCTTCTCTATCCCAGAGGAGCCTAGCCAGTCACAGCTGTCGGATCTTGGAGAAGCACAAACAGGAGAGGAGGCCCCTGGTAAGTGGCTTTGATTTTGGGAATCGCTGAAGCAAGTTGTTGGGGGCAAGAGGGCAGCAGAAAGCAGGCTTGTGTCTGTATGATGCGCATACCACCACGTGTCTAGTCTGAGCGGTCGAACAGGGTGTTGTTTGACTCCCTCACTTCATGGGAATCTCCCTTAGAGATCTCCACAAAACTCTCATGGAGATACTGGGCAATCTGCTGCCGCAGGTTCTTTGGCAGAGCTGCTTTGTTTCTTGCCCCATTAAGGGTAACTTTCCCGCGCCACTCTGCCATCAGTGGGGAGGGGGGTACCATTGCTGCACACAGGCGACCCACATAAGGGCCAGGGCGGAAGCCGCAGTCTTGAAGAAGACCCTTCCTTGATTCCCTGCTCACCCTCAGCAGCAAGATATCTTCCAAAATGAACACAGCCCGTGGAAAATGTGGGGACAGGAATGATTATAAGGCCCGCCCTACAGTGCTGGCTCTCCCCAAGAGCCACGTGCCCAGTGTACAGTACGGTCCTGGAACACGGATTTCCCCTGCCCCTGCAGTTACTCACCATTTTGGGGATCTTGTGGCTCATGTCTGCTTACTTGGGGTCAGCCAGTTAGTGACTGGTATGTGAATAGTGGCTGTGTTTTAAATCAGTGGTCTGTGTACTATAAACAATACTGCTTCTGTAAAATGTTACATTTTGGCTTCACAGATATGACCTTGGAAGCCCAGCCTCCCTCTTTGTTGTCACCGGCTGAACGGCTGCACAGAATTAGAAAGCGGCCATGATAAACTAAAGAGGACTTTCTGATGCACTCCGCGGCTGAAAAACAAGAATTGAAGGAGTGGTGGGACAGCAAGAAGGGGGACCGAAAGGAGAACGCGGGGCGCCAGAACAAAGCCACAGAGCGGCTCTTAAATGTTATGGAGCGCCAAGTGGACACACCTCAGGCGCTACTAGCACTGCAAACCGAGCAGCTCTGTGCCTGCCCTCCCCTGCAGCTGCTGTTGCAAAACTCTTTCCCATGCGCCCCGTAGACACCGCCAACACACACTTATCAACTTCCTGGCTCCAGTCTGTACCCACTGAAGTCCACTCCAGCCCCGTCACAGTCCAGCCCTGCGGATTCCCAGTACCCACTGCACTCAACACCCGTCCCTCTGCAGTTTAGTCCTGCTGAAGTACAGTACCCGCTGTACTGTACTCCGAAGGACAAGGTTGCATATGATACCTGGACATACACAAATCTTTAACCGTCCCAGGACCCCATCTCCTCCTGGGACCCTCCCTTTCCCCATCCCCAACAGTGCTGATGTGTGTTTTTGTTTCTCTCCCCTCTGGTGGTTGTTTTTTAATAAAAGAATTGTTTTGGTTTGAAAGCGATCGTTATTCCATTAATTGAAAGCAAACAGAGCCCTGCAAAGCAACAGACAATTTTCTTACACCTTCATAGTGCATCTTCTGCACCAATCACAATCACCTCCTTGCGTTACAAGCACTATACTCCCAAGCATAGCAACACATATTAGTGACTTTCAGCTTCAAATTGCTGCCTCAAGGCATCCCTGATCCTTATGGCCCCACGCTGTGCCCCTCTAATAGCCCTGGTCTCTGGCTGTTCCAATTCAGCCTCCAGGCACTGAGCCTCAGTGGTCCAGCCCTGAGTGAAGCTTTCACTCTTCCCATCACAAATATTATGGAGCGTACAGCACGCAGCTATAAGCATAGGAATATTGTCATCGGCCAGGTCCAGCCTCCCATATAGGCAGTGCCAGCGGGCATTTAAACGGCCAAAAGCACACTCAACAGTCATTCTGCACTTGCTCAGCCTGTTGTTGAACCGCTCTTTGCTGCTGTCAAGGTGCCTCATGTATGGCTTCATAAGCCACGGCATTAAGGGGTAGGTGGGGTCTCCCAGGATCACAATGGGCATTTTGACTTCCCCTACGGTGATCTTCTGGTCCGGAAAGAAAGTCCCTGCTTGCAGCTTCCTGAACAGGCCAGTGTTCCGAAAGATGCATCCGTCATGCACCTTTCCGGACCAGCCTGCGTTAATGTCTGTGAAATGCCCATTGTGATCCACAAGTGCCTGGAGAACCATTGAGAAATACCCCTTGCGATTAATGTACTTGGTGGCCAGGTGGTCTGGTGCCAGAATTGGAATGTGCGTGCCATCTATCACCCCTCCGCAGTCAGGGAAGCCCATTTCTGCAAAGCCACCCACGACATCATGCATGTTGCCCAGAGTCACGGTCTTTTGGAGCAGGATGCGATTAATGGCCCTGCACACTTCCGTCAACATGAGTCCAACAGTTGACTTTCCCACTCCACACTGGTTAGTGACCGATCAGTAGCAGTCTGGAGTAGCCAGTTCCACAGTGCAATCGCCACGCACTTCTCCAGCGGCAGGGCAGCTCTCATTCTTGTGTCCTTGCGCTGCAGAGCTGATGTGAGCTCATCACACAGTCCCATGAATATGGCTTTCTTCCTCCGAAAGTTCTGCAGCCACTGCTCGTCATCCCAGACGTGCATGATGATGTGATCCCACCACTCAGTGCCTGTTTCCCGAGTCCAAAAGCGGCATTCCACTGTGGTCAGCACCTCCGTGAATGCCACAAGCAATCGTGTGTCAGAGCTACTACGCGTGGTGAAATCAATATCGAACTCCTCTTGCCTTTGTAGTTTAAGGAATAATTCTACTGCCACTCATGACGTGTTAGCCAGAGCAAGCAGCATACTGGTCAACAGTGCAGGATCCATTCCTGCAGACTGAAGAGGCAGAGCACGCAGTACACAAAGGGTTGAAAGATGGTGCCAAATGTGGAAGGAAGCACAGGGATTGCTGGGATGTAAAGCAATGCATCACGGGGCATCGGGACAGGACCCAGGATGCCCCGCGACCCCCTCCTCCTTCCCACAACTCTTAGTGGCAGAAGAGAAAGAGGTGCTCTATGGGATAGCTGCCCAGATTGCACCTCTCCGAATACCGCTGCAAGTGCTGCAAGTGTGAACACAATTGCACCAGCAGCTGACAGTGTGAACACACAATAGTGGTTTTCCCTTCAGTGCTCTCTGAGCAGTGCTGTAACAGCCGGCGCTGTAACTCTGCCAGTGTAGACATATTCTTTAGGTCACTGTTACATAGCTCCCAGTCTAGGCTGTGTGAATTCTGGCCATGGTGAACTCAGGGTACTTTCTTCAACAAATTTGTGTACAAATTTGAGTCAAAAAGGTGAATTAATATTTTTGCTTCAAGGCACTTAATTCTTCCACTTGTTTGTGTAAATGATCTGTTAGTGTGAATGGGGAACAGGTTAGAATTCCATTTCATAGTCCGTGCTCATTCTACACTGTATCAGTAGAAGCAAATCAATTCTGTGTATATTCTTTTCTGTGACTAATGATCCCAAAGTCCTAAAGCTAAAAACCCCTCTTTTTACCACTCTCTGATTTTGCAAAATTTGGGGTGACTTACTGAAGACTGAAAGTATCAGAGTTCAAAAAGCTGGTGTAATTGCTGCTTTCTTCTGGGGCTCTGATCTCGTCTCCTGACTGATTCTGTTGAAGGTAAAAATAATCTATACACTTATTTACACATTCAGAGCACTTTAAGGAGATTCTATAACTAATCCTCTGCATAGTTCTTTGGGGTCGGTATTGTTCTTCATGTCATTGCTGCCAGACCGCAGTACTTATCTGCCTAGCCACATGGAACTTTTCTGAGAAGTAGTTGACAGATAACCACTGTGCAGTGTGCACAGTTCCTAAGAGACCTAGAATTTCATAGACAATGGGTGTGTTTGCATGTGAACGGCAGTGGACACTCAGAACCACCAGAAGCTATACTGAAAGTTGGGATCTGAAGGAAAGAGGGTCAATGTGAGTCAGAAAAGAAGAATTAGGTCGGGGCCTATACTAGAAAAGCTAGTATAGTATAGCTATATGTCCAAATCCTCCTATTGTGAACATTAGCTTATACCAGCAAAAGTGCTTTTGCCAGTATAACTTATATCTGTTCCCCAAGCAAAATAAAGATACCCCAGCAAAAGCACTTTTAGGCCAGTATAACTATCTAAACTAGGGCTTTTGCTGGTATAGAAAAGTTGTAAAAGCGTCACAACCGTAACTGACATTGCTAGACTGCCAAAAGTTTCTAGTGAAACCTGGCGTTACTCTTAGTACGTAACCCCCTTTTTAGTAGCAACCAAGGAAATAAATGCAAATCTGCCTGAGCACTCCAGCTCCGTGCTAAATTTGTTTTGTAAATTGGTTAACAATAGGGCGCGGCATTGGGAACATTCCTGTGACCTAGGTTAGAACCAGTATTGTGTGGGAAGTCCCCAACAGTCAAAAATGAAAGTGAAATCTGCTGAGTGTTGTGTCAAAACATAACCAAGTGCAAAGATTATCAGCATAAGTAAATAGCTTCAGGCGAGCAGAGGAGCACAGGCTGGAGTTTTGCTCTTACACTGGATCCGAGACAGAGCTGTTGAACTGTACTAAAGAGGATCAACTGAACGGGACTTCAAGTGCTTCTTCTTGCTGGTGTTTCTTTTTGGGTTCAGCAATCAGCACAATGGTGGTCCTCATGTAAGTACCCTGCTGGTGGGCTAGGAGCAATATCTCTTTGAGATTATACTGTGCATGCAAAACCCAGGAGTCCAGTCCCTCCTGAGTCTTTTAAGGGGACACTATCAACTTAAAAATCCTACTTCTGTCTGAATTGTTCACCTATTGCTGTTATATATGGAATGCCTAAGATCAGTCTAATGGAAAGAGATGCGGGAGAAATATATTTATTTTTTCAGTTTGATTCCTTTGTGCATTTGAGAGGTTATGGGTATAGTTAGTTTCATCATAGTCAGTTTCCCCTGTTGTTTACTCTGTGAATTTGGCAGGACTCTCTGTATAGTCAGCTTCCTTTGTTGTTTGCATGGGATTTTTGCACAGCAAGAGGGGAGAGAAAGCAAAATTTTTAAATGGGAAAAAAATGTGACTGAAAAGAATCACAGAAATAGGCAATTGGGCTCAAGAGAGTAGGTGAAGCACCTGAAACTACTTTCCACTCTCTCTTTTTGCAGTGGATTAGATTTCTACTTGAGGATGTCAGTTGAATTGATTGAAAAAGTAAAAATCTGGTTATTAACATTTTTGTATTCTATCTACCTAACTTCCGGGTTCGCACACAGTCAAATGTCCCTATCAGTGTTTACATCTCCTCGGCCTGATTTTTCTCTCCCACTAGGGCAACTCATGAGCAACACCATTGATTTCAGTGGAGTATTATAACCATGAAAAAACAGAGTAACTGAGAGCAGAATCCGCCCCCATTATTTTTAGTTTTCAGGTTATAAGTGATAATTATGGCCCAGATCCACCAAGAGGTTTAATTCTGGAATTCAGACACCTAAGTCCCAGTGTAAGCTCCACTGTGATCCAGAACACGCCCCCCCCCCCCGAATCCCTTTAGCCGCCAAACTCCCCCCCCCCCTCCATTTCCGAGCAAAGCACGCGGCCCCCCCCCCCCCCCCCCGCCCGCCGATTTTTGCCAGGGTTCACACCAGAACATGGCAGCAGGAGCCTTGGCACTGTGCGGGAGGGAAGAGTTGAGAGCTGTTTCCAGGCATGGGGGAGGAAGAGGAGGAGGAGAAGGGGGGAAGGGATGACCTCGCCTGTGTCTTTGCAGAGCTCATCCCTACCCCCCCCATGGTACCCCTACCCCCATCAAGTACATGCCATTTACTTAAACGCACCTGCTCATACACATGCAGACCAGTACACCCACTGTTACAGATGATCTCCACAGACACACCTATGCACGCAGTAAACATACCAGCTGTACTCTAGTTCAGTGGTTCTCAACCAGCGGTACGCATACCCCAGGGGGTACGCAGAGGTCTTCCAGGGGGTACATCAACTCATCTAGATATTCGCCTAGTTTTACAACAGGCTACATAAAAAGCACTAGCGTAGTCAGTGCTTAGTCAACTAAAATTTCATACAGACAATGACTTGTTTATACTGCTCTATATACTATACACTGAAATGTAAGTAGTTTATATTCCAATTGTTTTATTTTGTAATTATATGGTAAAAATGAGAAAGTCAGCAATTTTTCAGTAATAGTGTGGCTGTGACACTTTTGTAATTTTTATGTCTAATTTTGTAAGCAAGTCGTTTTTAAGTGAGGTGTAACTTGGGGGTACACACGACAAATCTGACTCCTGAAAGGGGAACAGTAGTCTGGAAAGGTTGAGAGACACGGCTCTAGTTGTCTACAGATCTGTAATTTGGGGATGGGGCTATCACAAAAGTTATCACTATTTAGTCCAGGATTCTGCTTGGGTCCCAAAATGGTTTGGCAAAGACCTAGCAGGGATCAGTAGGTGAGGAAGAACACTCCAGCTGTGTCAGAATGGAGTAGGGCGGGGGCCAGAGAGGAAAACAGATGTGAAGGGATCAAGTTGGAACTGCTGAATGTTTTTCAATTTCAAATGGTGGGGGAGGGGGACAGCTGCTCTAGTTCCCATCTTCCAGAGTGACCGATGCAATCTGGAAGCATTTTAGGGTGTGCTCTAGAGATGTTCAGATGACTGGCGATTAATCTGGAATGCCAAAGGAAACAGGATATCTTTCCCCTTCCTCCTCCCCTTTGCTTGTTTGTTTTCATTGTGGTTTAGTTCTTCAGAGCGCTTACACTGGGTCAGGCGACTTAGTCATTCTGTTATTTCTGCCAAGTCCTGAAGCCGAGAGTGGGCCCTCCCATCTGGGACTGGCAGGGCTGCTGTTTCTGTTAGCATGGATCTTCTTCAGGCTTCTTCTATTTTTTCCTCTTCTCTGATGTCTCCTCTGCTCTGCCTGTTTTCTCTCCTTCCCCTGTTCCTTCTGTTTCCCACCCTCTCTCTGGCTGTCCTTGTCTAAGCCAGAACCAGGGCACAGTGTCAGGGCGAGAAAGGGCTGGGCGACCGATCTTGTTTTAGAGAGCTCCCTGATTTACTCAGATCCTCCCCTCTGAAGTGAGGCACCCTCCATTCAAACCAGGGGAGTGATGGAACAAGCAGGTGCAGTAGAAAATGATAAGACCACCAGGCCCTCCCCATACTGGTGCAGGTAGCTGGGCCATGGCCTTGCTGATATATAGGAATGATAGACTACCAGGGACAGAGCCTTTTGACGAATTACCACATGGGAGCGGCAGAGGAAGAGCTCCTCCCTGATGACAGGCCCCAATGGTGCCCACCTGAAAACAACTGCTGGTGGCGTGTGTTGACAATGTAATTGATGTGTCCGTTTCGGGCACTTTTTAAATATCTAAGAACTCTACTGCCTGCCTGCAGGACAGGCAGCCATTTTGAGAGGCAGAGTCACTGCAGACTCTGGAGATGGACGGATGGGTGGGCAGGGCACGCACACGCGCACACACAGAGTTCTTTCCTGTTTTTGCTTTTCCCCTGGATCCAAGCTGACACTCCTTGGGCTTGGAGGAACGCATGTGCTCTTTATGCGGGAAAGAACAGCACCAATCACATGCAGGTTTAAATCCCATTGGGTCAGCTCAGCCTTCCATCTTCCCAGGAGAGGTACTTTGGGGAGATTTATGAACTGCCCTCTCCCTCTTTGGTTCACCTTTGCTGTCACAAAGGGACTTCAAAGCAGCTGTAAGGCTCACCCTCCAGAATACCCCAGTTCAGGGGGCCTCTGCCAGGCACTGAGCTGGCTCTGCACACACCCGTCCGGGGCAGCTGGAGGCAGGAGAGGTGGCTGGCATGCCTTCACCCTGGCTATGCCACAGCGACTGGGGCACACAGAGAGCAGCCCTTAGGGCTTCCCTGAACAGTGCCAGGGGCCAAACTGGCTTCCAACAGCCTCAGAATACACAATGTGCAAGCTGCCTCCCCTCCCCCGAGCGGGGCCCTGCGTCAGCACCAGTTGGGGTGAACCGCGGTCACTGAATGCCATGGAATTTAGGGGCTGAGGTTGGGCATTCAGCTGAGACTTTAAAAACCGCGACCCTCTCTGTGCTGCGGGCACATCAAAGACCCTGTGGGCTCTTCCTAGCAGAGCACTGCCTTGGCCTTCTCCCCGCAATACGGTATTGAAGAGTGCTGGCTGCAGCCCCGCCCCACCAGCTGCATTTCAGTGCTGATGTAGGTACGTTGTGTAGTTCATGATGTTAGAATGACAGGTATTTAAATAGAGTTTACTGGTATTGTTACGCTCCCATAGCCACCTGGGTTTCAGGCTGGTTCCAGATGGGGCATTGTAGTTCGCCACCTCCTGCCGCCAGACCTGCCTCCAGTGTATTAATGTGTATCCAATCAGGGCCCTGGCAAGACTTTGGGCCATTACGTCATTGGTGGGTTTGGCAGAATTCCAGATTTATTTTGTTCTAATTTTGACAATTAACATTAATTTTTATTTTTAAGATTTTTTGTTTCTATTTTTATTTTTTATTTTTACACTTGTTGGAAGTTGGGCGGGGACATGATTGGGGCTAGGGCAGTACTGACAGCAGGGCTGCTGGGGGCTCCCTCTGTGGCCGCTCCCACGCCAGCCCCCCCCCCCAGGCCACCAGCCCGGCACCCGCTCCCACGCCAGCCCCCTCCCGTCCAGGCCGCCAGCCTGGTACCAGCTCCCTGGCCCAGCTTCTGCCCTACCCCATGACCAGGCCCAGAACCCCAAGTCAGCCAAGTAGTTTTTTTGTTGCTGTGACTACCCCCCCAGTCTCATCCCCCTTTGGATGGGGCAGGCTGCAGCAAGAAACCAGGGTCTTTTGGAGAGGGTGGCTGGGCGCCCTAGGTGGAAATCAAGGGGGAACTATTAATCTAGTCAACTACTTATCTGCCCTGTATTCCTCCCTCCCTCCCCCCCCCCCCGCCCCGGATCTGGCTCTCACCCACTTCTGAGCTGTTTGTGTGGTTGTGTTTGTTACAGTGCACTGGACGCCACCGACAAGCGCAGGAGCACATTCAGGCTTCGCCAGAAGATCTCTAAGCGAAGCACGCGGAAGCAGAAGTGAGGTATTGACGGTGTAGGGGTAATACTGAGAGAACTGGGCCCCCTCACCTCCGGAGAGTGGGTGAGCCAGGCAGGTGGAGGGAAGGGGGCGCCTACACTGTGGTGCTAAGCCTTTGTCAAAGAGCAGAAAGATGGCTTGTGGCCTGTTGGTTAGTGTAGAGACCTGCTTCCTGGCTCTGAGCACTGTCTGGGAGACGTGGGTTCAGATCCCTGGCCTGGGCTCTCAGCACAGAGGCTGGAAGCACTGAGGATTCCCAGGAACCACCTGTGCAGCAGCCACGCCCAGAGGCCTGAGCACAGCACAGCGGTCCCACCATGATACACTTAAAACACGGTTTGAGCTTGTGGCTTAGAGGCTTTAACTGTATCCCCTCCCCAGGCGATAACCTTCAGGCTCTGGGAGACACGAGACAGCACCTGTCCCGGGTGGCTCAGTGGTGACAGCCAATGGAGTGGTGATGGCAGGATCCAAAGGGAGTTCAATGAAGTCCTCATTGCCAGAACCAAACATCTGAGGGTGGATGTTAAACTGAGTGGGGGATACATAGGGGAGGATGCCCTGCCAAGGGAATACACTCAAGGGACTATGCTTGAGGTTAAGATTTTGTCATGGTTATTTTTAGTAAAAGTCAGGGACAGGTTACGGGCAATAAACAAACATTCCCAGAAGCCCTGACCTGTCCCTGACTTTTACTAAAAAGAACTGTGACAAAATGCGGTTGAAGGGGGGAGGGCTGAAGCCCAAGTGGGGAGGCAGGGATGAGAGCCCGAGCCCGACTGCAGAAGGAGGGGATCCAACACCTGGCCCCCACTGCCTACGGCATCTCAGAGCTCCAAAGCCCCCGCCAGCTGACAGATCCAGCCTGCCACCCCGGGGCTGGAAAGTGTCATGGAGGTCTCTGAAAGTCACAGAATCTGTAACTTTTGTGACATAATCTTACCCTTAACTATGCTTGAAGAGGCAAATTCTCTCTCTCTGAAGTGTTCAAAGCCAAGCACGGAGTAGGTTGGCCTCCACTCACTCCCAGTCCCTTGTTGATACCTACATGCAGACGCAACCAGCAAGTCATCCTTGAGAGGCTGAGGCAGCAGTTCTTGCTGATCCCTTTCCCTGCGTAGGCCTGCTGGGGACTCTCTTTTTACGTCTGATTTTGTTTTTCAGCCTAAATCACAAGCCACAAAAATACAGCTGAAAGGAAGCCAAAGAGCTAAGAGAGAAGTCGTCAGTGAAGTCTGCTAAGAAGTCAGGCCGAACAAGAGAGCCTGCAGGTTGGTTCCCACAGCACCTGTCTCCTTGGGGTCTAGGGACCACGGTCAGATTGTTTAGTCCTCTCTGTTGGGATTCAGGAGAGAAAGGTAGGCACCTAATTGCCACTTCAGACAATAGGAATCCCACCCCTTGTGTTTGTTTTCCCATGATTCCTTCTTCTTTTCACCAGAACTGAAAGCAAAAGTGCTTTCCCTGGGAGGAGACAGTACTGCTAATCTAGGCATTTACAGTAAATGACACCAAGCCTTTCACACTATCAAGCTTGGCAACTAACTGGCCTAATAACTGACTCCCAGTCCAGCAGAGAAAAGTTTGTATCTGGAAGGTCCCACCCTGACAGAGATCTTTAGGTTGAAGCTAGACACACGGATGGGTAACTTACGGTAGAACTGGCAGTAAACAACCAGGCAACGCTCACGCCTCTCCTCTGCACAGTGACCATTTTGCTTAAAAGTTGCTTCTTTTAGTGTTTGTTTTCAGATTAAGGCCATAATAATATGTCATGGTCATAACTATTGGCACTGTATCAACTGGATCATGCGGGCATGTTTGTCCAAGGAGGCACTTTCACTTTCCCTCTTGGTGGCTGGGTACCCAGCCAAGAAGGCAAGAGTTGAACAGGTATAGACAATCCATACTCTTTCTTCCATGGAGCCAAATTTCTCTCCCTCCTTTGGGAGACCGTCCCTGGGGGAAGTCAGTTTGGGGCGGGGGCATGTACACGTGCATAAAAGTCAGAACCTGGTCCATTTGCCTTTACTTCTCTTACAAGTGGCTGGAGGAAGCGTGTTGATTATCTCTACAGTTCCCCTGCTGATGGCGGGTGTCCCTGCTCGTTTCCTGTTGTGCCCATTTCCCCCCACAAATGCAGAAGGAGGAGTTGTGGCACAGTGAAATGGGGGTCAGTTTCTAATGTGAGGTTGTGCTCTGGTATCCCTTGTCCCCTTCCCCCATCCCCGTAAGGTCCCATATCGCTGGGCCTTCAGATAAGGCAAAATGGATGTGACGCCTTCCAGTTCTTGGCAGCGTCGCTGCAGGGGTGGGCACTAGAAAAACTGCAAATGCCCTAAGGCAGCTTAACTGTGCTGTCTCCTCAGTTCTCTCAGCCTCCGTCCCTAGGCTGCCAGCCGTCCAGCAGGGTTACAGTCAGACAAGTGACTGGGTCCTCATGTCACAGAGCTGTGTGTCAGCCCCTCCTGCTACAGCCCTGTTTGTCCTCCAGTGAGCACTGCCTAGCCAGCTGAGCTATGGGAGGGAGCCAAAGCCTCTGGTCTGTCTCATACATCATCAGCCAAGCGCCCGCTGCAGAATCGTCATTCCTGGTACTGACATGAGGGAGGCAGAGCACAGGCTGAGCTGCAGATCCCAGGTAGCATGTGCGGGCCTGGCCAGTAGAACGACCGTCTCCTGGCTTGTCACCGGAGCAAACTGGCTGTGGGATTGGTGCGAGAACAGAACCCCCGCGAGGGTATTTCTAGTCACATTTCAAACTGGAGCCCCACTGCACAGGCAGCTGGAATTCTAACCTTTGTACCTGCAGCCCAGTGCTGTGGTCAGGAAATCTTGTTTGCTTCTAGTTTAATGTTTAAATGTTCCCCTGGTTAATTCACAGAATTTGCTCATTTCTTCCCTTGCTTGTTACCAGAGGAAGGAAAGTCCCTATATGCCACATGCAGGAAACTAACAGTGCATGTAATAGCCCCTCATATAAGCAGTCAGCAGCCTTTGAACTTGGCGGAGAATCCTGGGGCTTTTTCACCTTCCTCTGCAGCATGGGGCAGGGGTCACTTGCAGGTTTAAACTAGAGTAAATGGTGGATTCGCAGTAACTTGAAGTCTTTAAATTAAAATTCGAGGATTTCAGTAACTCAGCTAGAGGTTAGGGGTCTATTACAGGAGTGGCTAGGTGAGTTCTATGGCCTGCAGTGTGCAGGAGATCAGACTTGATGATCACGATGGTCCCTTCTGAGCTTAAAGTCTCTGAGCACTAGTAAGTAGGATATCTAGTAGACCAGCCATGAGAAGGGGCTGCACCACTCCCTCTGTCAGCGTGTTACCTGGGCATCGAGGTAGCAGTGGGATTACTGGCATGAACACTGAAACTGAGGGCTCTCCCCATTCATGTCTCACAGCAGGTCTCTTCGAGGAGGGCGCTACCGTGGTCTTGAGGAGCTAGTGTGGAAACTAGAATGGGTCTGTTGAAGCAGAGAACTGGGGCGTGCCAGCTCTATTGGAGCATGCTCCTCCTGGCTGCAGGGTCCTTTTTCTTGTTGCTCTATGCCCTGATGTGGGAAGCTGGGAACATCATCAATCTTCCTCACAAAAGGATCGGCTTCTACAACTTCTGCCTGTGGAACCAGACGTCTGGAGAGCTGCAGTGCCTAGAATTCAAGGACCTAATGGACATGGGGGTTGACCAATTTGAGCTAGTGCTGGCAAGGTTCTGTGTATATACTGTCCAGGTCCTCTGTAGCTTCTCCCCCTTTTTAATCATGCAGGCCCAATATGCAAACACCAGAGAGGCCTGGGAAGTGACGCTTGTGGTGCTGGGCCTCTCAGCTGCTCTTCTGGCTGGTGGCCTTGGCTTGTTTCTGTTCCAGGCCTGGGTTTGCATTCAACTCTCTGAACTCAGTGGGGGTTTCATGGCACTAGCTGGGGCTCAGGCCCTGCTGCTGCTCCAGCTTTTTGCTGCTGCTATGTACCTCACACGGTTCAAGGAGGTTCTTGAGAAGGGCAACCCTTCCCCTGAGGAGCAGCCCCCAGCCTTCCAGGTCTGAAGGCAGAGAGGGAGGAAGTTGCAGTGCTAGCTTGTGGGAATTTACCAATCAAGTTTTTATAATCATCTGCTAGTCAGACTATATAGCCAGCTCTTGTGTACAGCCTTGGGCCGAAACGCTATTCTATGTCTAAGTTTGTCAGGCAGTTCACAGGGCCGTCCCTAGGATTTATGGGGTCCAATGCAGTATTATTAAACTGGTGCTCCTATGCCCAACGGCAGCTTGGGCTTGCAGCCCGGGGGGGGGGAGAGACGAGGCAGCAAAGAATACTGAGCCACCCGGCCTGCCTCACAGCGGCGGAGAGTTCCCTGCAGAGACCCCAGTACCCTCTCCCTCACACAGAATGGGCCGCGCTGGTGTCTATAGCTCTGTGAATATGGCCACTGCCTAAAGAGACTGCAGTGCGCACTGGGTGTGCGGGAGCCGACCCGCTCTTACCTGCTGTCATGGACGGTGGGTGAAGCTGCAGTTTGGGGAGGCTAGCTCCGCAGCCCACCTGTGGCCCCGCCCATACTCCACCCCTGCTCTGCCCTGGGCCCTGCCCCCACTCTGCCCAGGCCCTGCCCTCTCCCCCTCCCCCCCCTTCCCTTCCCTTCCCTTCACCGGTCACCCCTTTCCAGCCGAATCCCTGAACCCAAATGAAGCAAATGGCATTTGAAAAAAACACTCTTCTGCAATTTCTTTCTAAAGATAATAGAGCATGTTTTCCACTGTATGCCAGAAAGTGAAGACTGGACATGCAGAAGGTACCTAATTAAAAGCACTAAACTTGGGAATAAAAATGTCAGACACAGGTTTTTTTGATATACCCTGAAGTTTGTCAGATTTATTTGCAAACACTTTGTAGTAAGGGCAAGTCAGCTGTCTTGCTGACTACAACATTAAATATTATGGAATACATCAGGGGTCAGCAACCTTTCAGAAGTGGTGTGCAAAGTCTTCATTTATTCACTCTAATTTAAGGTTTTGCATGCCAGTCATACATTTTAATGTTTTTAGAAAGTCTCTCTCTATAAGTCTATATTATGTAACTAAACTATTGTGGTATGTAAAGTAAATAAAGTTTTTTAAATGTTTAAGAAGCTTCATTTAAAATTAAATTAAAATGCTGATCTTATCAGTTTAGTGTGATTCTTGCCCTTGCTTTTCCTAGCTGAGTTTTCCAATGTCTGGCACGTATTTGGATACTTTAAGCTGCACGCAGGCTTCTGAGTGATCAGTTGTTAACTGACTCTGAGCGGGACAGAGGACAGATTTCATGTGTGAAAATACCTGTTCACACAGGTATGTGGATCCAAATGCTGAAAGCACTGCAAACCCAATTTTCTTCAAACAGTTAAATTTCAGCAGGTCAGAATAGAGGCCCCATGATAGGGTGACCAGACGTCCCGATATTATCGGGACAGTCCCGATTTTAGGGGACTTGTCCCGCGTCCCGACCTTACATTGGTCGGGACGTCTGGTCACCCTGTACGAGGGGGACC